AAATTGATGATCTATAATCCGGAAAAACCCCTAATCCGGAATCGCGGATTAAAGACTTTGTACTGTATCATTATTTTTACATAAAATTAAAGCTTACTTATCAAAAGAAAATTATCTTTCTAATTTTTATCACGAAAACTCGAGACTGTATTCTTTATTACATTCTGTGCTCTCTACCACCAGTTATTCTTACAAAGTGATTCTGATTAATCAAAATATTTTGTCTCGAAGTTGTTTAAACGTTCCTCTAAAGTAATTCCGTTTAAATTTGGGATCAATCAATCAATAAAATGCTTATTTTTCAACATATAAAAATGCATACTGTTAAATTTTAAAAGAATTATTTTTCTTACATTTATTACACTATACCGTGCAATGCTGGATGTAGAATGAATCTTTAAACTGTTTTGAGATTGAAAGAATGATTTACCTTTCCATTTTTAATCTCAGAAGGTTGAGCGTTGCGTACAAGTAAAATGTTTAAATTATGTGTTTAAAGAATTCTTCTGAAGAGATGTATTTTTCTAGAAGCGTTTTTTTAATTATAATAATAACGTTAATTTTTATTCAAATAAACATTTAACAAAATGTGAGGCATTCGCCTTCCCAATTGCCATACATCAATATTATTTCAAGCCTTGACAAAGTTTGAAAAGAGGTTATTGACAAACTCTGTGATTAGCACCCACCAGTGGAAGTGTTAGGTGATAAGCAGTAAACTGCTGAACTCTAATAGCTTGACCTAGTCGCAAATCCTGGTGAACGGGCTTGCTACATGGGCGCTTTCGTGATTTTCATGTGTAATGTGGATATGAGCCAGGTTCCCTTAAAGTCCTCCGTGAAGGCATCCCTGTCCTTAGGCAAGCAGACCTTGTATGCTTTGCCAAAATCAGTATACCATAAAACCATTACTTTGTGATGAATGAAATACATACAATACATAAGTGCTAATACAGGAATGAAAACACAAAGTGCTTCAAGATTAAGACCAATCTGCGGCAAAAGCGGATACAAAAGCTATGATAATAAGCATACAATTAAATATAAAGTTCACAGCAATCCAAAAAGTATCAATGTAATATGTTATGTAACCTAAAAACTGTTATCGATGGCACTTTTTAATAATCCTGTTTACAGTGCACTGGTTTTCTAAAGTGGTATCATAAAATAAGTTACATTTCAAAAATCAGACCAATGCTATATGCTAAATCCATATACAAGTAATGTTTTTATTATGTAATGCAATTTACAGTGCAGGATTCAATAAGGTTACACAATATTATCATACGTACCAAGTAGAACTTATATCACGAAAAGAGTTATAACAATCGGAGCAATATAATGAGAAACTTTTATGTAGGTAATAAGTAATGATGTTTTTATATAATGTGATTCGCAATGCAAAATGTAGTTTTTACCAAAGGACTACCATATAAAAGGCAACAGAGTGCAAACCGTAAAGGTGCGCAAACAATGGAGAGAATGTGCACTTGATTTGGCCAAGGACAGAAAACATTTGCATTTGAGTTCACATAATTACTTTCTTATACAGTGTTGACTTCTCAGATTAGTGGAACTTAATGATTACTCAAAGCGAAATATGTTGCTTTATATGAGAATATATGCCAGCAACTGAAGTGTTGGGCCGGATATTAGGCATCTTTCTGCAATATTTGCAAAGAGTAACAATATCTCGGATTGAAGTCTGCCATCTCTGCTTATGACAAAAGAATTCTTGCATGTACATAACAAAACTATCAGTATTTTCGCCAGGATATCCACGTTGGGTAGCTATTTACAATATAAAATTGCAAATAAATCAAAATGAAGTTGTCAGTTTCTGAAATCTTGCAATGTATTCTCAAAGTGTCCTAATAAATCATCAGCCAGTGCTTTTGTATATGCAACTATCCAAAGACAAAGCTCTTCAAACAATTATGTTGCTGATTTTAATGATAGGAACATGGCATGTAAAATTAAATTTGAATTATTTTATTGTTTAATTATTAAATTATTTTTCTTTAGAACACAGTTTATTGCTTGGTCTTGGGATTCAATGTGTACGTTTATTTTAGTAAGCAATCATATTCAAAAGATGTCGTTTTTTAGTTACGATTTTTTATTTTATCATAGCATGCTTTCCTCCTTTTGCTCATTCACTGAATATACAATGTGGGTCATGGAATGAGATTTTTGCTTTGGTCTGATTTATTTTGATAAAGTAAAGCAGTCAAAGGCTTTCTGTGTAAAGAGAGGGATGCCTTCATAAAGGACTTTCTAAGGGAAACTGGCTCATATACATGTTACACATGAGGAAAATCACGAAAATGACTATGTACACATTAAACTTGAATAATGAATTTCGTGAACATTTGTCCCTTAGTAATGGTTATTATCTGAAGTGTACAAATGGACTGTGTATAATCAGAAAGATGGTATAGCTAGTTTCTTATTTGGAAATTGCACTGGAACATTTGCTGTTTGTGTTAATGCCTTGTACAAGAATGAGATGCTCGCATCTGTATGTGCCGGAATTCTATCACAGCAGAACTGTGGCCTATTGTTTATCATTCCATGACACTGCTGCCTGTGTTGAGCAGAATATCATAACCATCAAGAAAATATGGAATCTATGGGTACCAGAATGCCATACTAAATGCAATGCAGGATCTCAGCAGCCCTAGGCCACCACCACCTGAGAGGACAAACACATTGTACTTCTGGCCTTGCAAGATCGTACAGCCAGTTCACATACAGAATCAGAAACTTAACTTGTGTGCAGGATATCAGCTATTTGATATCTGTAACATCACCACGGCAACGACTGTTACAGTTTCCCCTGACACTGCAGCAAAGACAGGAATGCCTACAATGATGCAATAAATAATGACAATGGGATGCAAGAGTGGCACTACATCTCTTCTCAGACCTTTCTCAGTTGTAAAGTATCATGATGGATATAGCCATGTGCGGAGGCATCGAGAATGCACGTTGTCAGTCTGCATTCATCCTCACTATATGGGCCCAGTGCCTGGCATGTTGGCATAGAGTACCATTGGATACACACCAGTCACCTTTTGTTCTCATAGCCAGTAATAAGGTCCAATCTATATTACTTTCTTGACCTATTAAGGTCAGTGGGCTTGCCCTATCTTTGAGACCTACCTGACACCACCTTTCAACAAGATAATGCAATATTGCATATTGCCTGTGTTGCCTTGACCTTCCTTGACAGAAAGGGTATTTGACTGTTGCCATGGCAAGCAATTTCTTCACATCTCTTACTCTTTCAGAATATCTGGCCATGAGTTTTCGAAAGACTTGAATACCATCACTTACAAGCCACTACCATTCATGCATTTATGAATTCTGGCAGAGTTGAAGCCGCATGGAATGAAATACCCATATCTGTCACCCAAGCTCAGCTCAGCATTTAGCTGGATTACAGCCATTGTTGTTGCCAGAGGTGGCAGCTCTATGTACCCCCAAACACCAGCAAATCCAGTCATGTCTTCCTCCTAATTATACTGTACATGTACAATAAATACTGCTACATGCCTTCTTTCCTGGTATAACAATTTTAATGGCCAAGAATGTATATAAGAAATTTCTTGATTGAAAAAAAGATGGATTTAGCTAATTTATGGAGTTCATAGCAATATCATTCTTGCATCTATGCCAACAAAAATTTCAATACATAGCACTTTAATGTAACAGAATACAAAAAAAAAAAAAAAAAAATGTAACAGTAACAGAATCTTAGGGGCAGTAATATATTTTCGTAAAATCTCCCTTCAACTTTTTTAAATTACACTCAATATCGGATTAATCTCATGTTATCTAAAATTAAAAAAAAAAAAAAAAAAAAAAAACCCTTCTGAACGCAGTATTTAAAGATGATGGAAAAACTCTTGACGCGTGAAGAAACTGCGTATTTTTATCTGTCGCAGGACATCCCCACACTTTTTCCAAAAGGGAAAAATATAAAAGCTTTATGATTATATTAATTAAATCAATGTCTCTACTTTAAAACTTCTGAAGAGTTCATTCCTATCCTCTCCTACGCAGAGGCATTTTTGAATTATCTGTGTTTTCCAGTTGTCCCTGTTGTATCTATGTATCAATTTGCATAGGAATTCAACATTTTAGTTACCATCATTCAATTTTGCTTGAAGCAAACAATGATCATCATTTGTAAAATGATCTGAAGCTTTGCTGTGATTTTAGAACTCCACTTTCCAGTTTCCTTCATCTAATATCTAAAAACTGTACTCAAGGCACAGAATGTTACCGATGGAGCTTATCTCATTAATATAAGAAAAAGTCCTGATTACTGCTTAGTACAGCCTCCACATATTTTACACATATGGAAAATGCTATGCAGCCAGCTCATTCCTCTACATGAAATAGAATGATTGAACTAGTAGAGATTTAAGTATCACAGCCAATCTTTGCCTGGCTTTAAATTCAATCCAAAGTGTCACTGAACAAGTTACAAAATTCAATAAATCAATAGCACTTAAATATAATTTTTAGCAAAGCAAATTCAATTTAACATTGAGATGAATTTATTAAGTTTTTTATGAATATTTCATTTAGTGCCAAACTAGGTTAGTTGGTTAATTAATTATGCCAAAATACTCAATGGGGCTATCTGTCCAAGAACAGAAATGGTTCGTGAACAGCTTTGAGAAACTGGTTCATATCATCAAACATGGGTAAAACCATGAATCATTCTTGCAGCCTGTCTTTTTACCCACCAGAAAAAGATAATGATGCTTCAAGGCTTTATCAACTTAACTACTAGGAGAATGCAATGAAACAATTTTAGATAAAATAACAAAAACCATTGTCACTTCAGCAACTACAGATGTAAAAAGATAATTTTGGTAAAGTTTTAGTGTAGTTTAATATCTAAAGAAAACACTTCATATTTGTTTATAAACAAGATGCTTTTCATATTATATCAAAGGAAGCTATTTCTAATGAATGTATCCCAGTTAAATTTCTAAAACTCTTTATTATAAACAAAATTTTCTAAAATTAACAAATCAAAAACAATCCATTTAATAATTTATGGGAAAAATCACCTAGCAAAAGGCGATTTTTTAACAAAACCAGATAACGGTGGAGGTCCTAATGGTTGAGAAACTAAAACATTGGGAGGAATATTAGGAATCTGAGGCAAAACTTTAGCATTGACATCGTCTGCTAAGACATTCGATGTTACTGGAAAAGGAGATGTCAAATTCTGATTAGCATAATTAGAAGGCACAGTATCAAAGCTCTGACCCACACTGTCGTGTGCCATTGATGTGAACGCATATTGATTTGATGCCACTGATCCAAGAGGAGCAATTCTGTTAAGTGTAGTGCTATTATAACCCGCCTGCTTGCTTTCGCTTTCAGATGCTGCTGATATTCCTTGCATTGCATATATCTCTCTTAAGATCATTAAAACTGTGTCTTCAGAATCCCTGGAAGGCAAAAAAAAAATAAAGAACTAAATATTAAAAAAAGTTAAACAACAGCCAAGCTATGTCATGAATTTTTATTTTAAAGTCATCAGAAAATTTTATTTATTAGTGTATTGAATATTCAAAGTACAAAATGCATAATATATATAAATATATATTTCAAAGCAAAAATACAGTAAAACAGATGCAGTGAAGATATAATTAAAAAAGATAAAATATAGTCTGAAAAAGAAATTATAGTTTTTTATGAAATAAATAACATGTACTTTTGAATGTTTTTCATTTACAAGTGTATTCAATTTCTATTTCTTTTTTGCTGTTGTTCATCGATAATTAAATGATCACGTAATATGCTACTTGTAACTTTTGCACAGAATACTACTTCCATCACTCCACTATCACTGCTCTGGTATACAGATGCATGGCATAAGTAAGCACACTACTACTATGCACTACTTTTACTTCATATACTACTTCTGTTTTCAGGAAATGGCTGGAGCACTGTAGTACCAGTTTTTTCAATAAGAATAATACTCATCATTTTACATGATCAAAAACACATTGCCATTTTTAATAAATGGGCCAACCTAGGAATAATATTTTTCTATCTATAACCAATATTAAAATGACAAGCAAACCCAATTTCTGCACACCAACAACACATTTACACATTTACATGTTAGTGTGCATCTACTTCCTTTAATCTTAATTTAAAAATATCACATAAAAGAAAGCACCACTTGCAAAAAATTCTAACTGCTGCCCATATGGTATAGTGGTTAGGGGAGCATGACTGTGATATCAAAAGGCCCCAGTTCGAATTCTGGAAAAGGCATGGAGGAAAAATTGTCTGTTCCTTCATAGGAGGTAACGTAGGCTGCCTGTTAGGTGCCTCCACAGTAAAACGACCACCACTTCTGGCCTTAGTAGTGGCCAATGCCATTATAGGCAAGTGCATGCCATTGGAAAAAAAATAAAATTCTAACTATCCTTTTTTAACAGCCTTGTACTTGTGTTTGCCTATTTTTACTGCACTGCTTTAAGTTCACAAGCATCATATATATATATGATTATAAAACAATTTTTTAAAACATAATATAATCATGCCTATTATTTTTGCACATTAAGCTGCTGAAAAATTATCAGTAAAGACATAAAGTACGAAATACCGTATTTGACGGCATATAAGATGCACCCTTATTTAGAAGGCCACACACAAGGGAAAAAAGTCTCAATAGTCCGTGCAACAGCGTGGTACCACAATAACTTAAAATGTGGTTTCTTTTAGTTCTCACGTTTCGTAAAAGCCAAATAAACAATCATTGAATGCAATTACCAAACATATTTTTATTAAGGAAAATTAACAAGCGGCAAGCTATTTTTTTCGGTAGGTGGTGGACCGAAATGCCTTGCTTCTGCTCTGTTTCCATGCACTTTGGCGTAGTTTAACACTCCTAATTTATACTGAATTGTATAGCTTAATCTTTTGTTTCCTGTAGTCATATTTTCCATGGTAGCTTTTTAAAACAAGCAGTTTTAAGCACAGAGTAGCCCCGATACCAACAAGTGTGTCAACTGAGTCAAAAAAAGCCTATGTAAAGAAGGATAGGCTCCACAGACGTAATGTGACTGTTGAACCTGTTTGAACTTCAACATCAGCTTCAAGCTTTGGCGCTTTTTGGCGACAGATATTTCACGTATGTGCAAAATAATTATGGCAGATGTAGAAAAAGATATGCGTGTCTACACCTTTATCCGGGCTAAAAATAGCATTCAGTATTGAAAGTTAACCTGTGTCCTTCAAGTATAAGACGCAGGTAACTTTTCTGAGACCAAATTTAGGGGAAAAAGTGCGTCTTATATGCCGTAAAATACGGTATATACAGGGTTGCCACTCAAACAGGAGAATGAAATTCCCTGATTTTTCCAGGTATGTTTCGAGAGAATTCCAGTCTATCCATGTAATGTACGTTGGCTGTGCTAAGAGGTAAATTAATTATGGTATTACTTGTACTGTGTAGCAAATTCACTTAATTATTCAATAAATCCCAGAGGACATTTATTCTTAATTATTCTTGGTACACTTTGTTTGATAATTTTGTCTACTTTTCACTTTACGTTCAACACGAGGCTAACCCGGTTCTTATAAATTACAATGCAATGCTAAAAGTTAGGTTAGATTTTAGGTAAATTTAATTTGTGTGAGGTGTATTCTTAAAAGACACCTAACACTTGAAAACACAAATATAATTATAATAGGAGTTGTTTTCTCCACTGAAGATTGAGATTAGAATCTGCCCAATCTGGAATAAAATAAGGCTTTTTTTGCAGACATTCTGCAGCCAAACAAAAGAAAGAAATCTATTTAATGATATTTATTTACTAAATTGAGGTATTTTATATTTATTTCGCAGCATACATAAGGAAAAAATTGTGCATTAAATTTTGTGATGTCATCATACTGCTAGAATTAATTTCAGGATTATGCCAGAGAAAATTTCCTGAAATTTGGAAATATTATTTACTAATGATAAATAATTTAGAAGAGAAGAAGAAGAAAGCAACATTAAATTGATATGAATAACATAAAAATAAGATAATTACTTAAAAATTTAATTAGAATAATCAACGATATTTTAGCGAATATAGTTATATTACATGGTTATCCTAGATGATTGGTTACTATTTTTTATTTTACTGTAAAATGACAAGGTATTTATTAAAAAGAAAGAAAAAAAAAAAAGGAAAAAAAAGATTTTGCGGTAAAATCCTAGTATACGATACTGCCTTCGCATGATTTTGAAAATTGTCGCCGAACAAAATGACCCTTTACTGCTCATCATCATGTTGCCAAATCCCGCTGTACCATACATGTAGATTATTCTAACCAATGAACGTCTATGTAAAAAGCGGAGGGAAAATTTGCCAAGGGATTTGGTGACGGAACCTAGCGGCCAGAATTTCCCTCTCCGCGATGTGTACAGTGAAATTGAGAAACATGTGTTAAGAAGAAACATTCTTTAAGAAAAAAGAAAACTACGAAAATCCGTTTTTAAATTATTGCGAAAAATCCAAAAAGAAACGTTTTATCAAAGAACGTTTTTTCTTGGATTTTTCGCAACAATTTTAAAAACGGATTTTCATAGATTTCCCCCCCCTCAAAATAACTAATCCATGAATTAATTTACTTGCGCCAAAAAATATTTTTCTTTTCCTTTAGAGTTTAAAGAAATTTTAAATGATATTCATTTTATAAACTCTTGATAACGTGACCTTCGAACTTCCAACACCGGTTTCGAGCTTTGGCGACAGATATATCGCACATGCACAGCTGTTTCCCGCTATGATGGATGTCTGTTGCAGAGAGGTTTTCCTTCTTTACAATACATATATTTTTATTCTAACCTTCATGGTACCGTATACTAGGATTAAACCCATTTTGTTTTATACGAGAACAGGTTCTTAGTTCATGCACTGCACATGCGATTCTCGAGGTTACTGGAAACCAAAAGTTGTCGGGAAACTTGCTTTGCCTTTCTAAGAAGACAATCAAATTGGAGCTGCGAAAATTGGCTCTATGCCAGCTGCCCAAATGACACTCACGTGATATACAATTCGCCAAAAAATGTGATCTCTTCCAACGTCGGCACAAAACTCGCCTTTTTTTGGCGGGATCGTTGTATGAAATTCCCTGACTTTTCCAGATTTTGACTAAAACACTTAAATTCTCTGACTTTTCCCTGAATTTTTTGGTCGATTTCCAAATTCCCTGACTTTTTCCGATTTTCCCGGTTTTCCAGGTAGCGTGGCAACCCTGTATATATATTAGTGAGAGCAGCTTTAGTGATGTACTTCATTATTCATGGATAAATATCATTTACCTTGCATGAAAGTTTCAGTAGAGAAATTTATTAAAATGCAGAACCCCAAAATAAAGAATTTCATTAGCCTTTTTAAGCACTCTGCTAAAGATCAAAACTTTCAATTAATAATAAATTAGAAGTGCAGTATGTCTAAAAAAAAAGTACGCATTTAAACATAAATAACCACTGAAGTAATCGACCACAGCATTATTTATTTCATTCCCACTGCAGATTAAGAATAATAATTATAAAAACCTGAGAAATTCATCAATGTATACTTACCATATCTACTTCATTCATATAACATTTTTTAACATAATAATAATCACTCGATGATCACCCAAATAACTTCAGATGTACACAAAGTGGATATTTTTGAGTTTCATTATGAAAGAAAAAGCTCAATATTCAGAGTTTAATTTCACGCACGAATAAAATCTGGCACTTGTAAAACCTAGTAACACATTTCTAATCTCCTGAATGGATAATTTTTTTATAAGCAGATAAATGGCAGATTTGAGTTCAAAAATGGTAATGAAATGACAATCAGTTTCACAAACATAAACACAGCAAACACACATATTAATCTAAGTACTTGATCTAGTACTTGATACCCTATGATAAATTGATGCAATTCTATCTTATAAAATTAACTATATTAAAATTTTTAAAAAAATGTACCAGTATGTAGCATGACTCGTAAGGGCAAATATATAATCATTTAATGCTTCAATTGGCTTTTCTTGAAGTACATAATCGATTCTTCGGCCACCATTAAGACAACCAATTTGAATATCATCTTCAGACGCTTCTGATGCACCTGAAAACAATCGCTCTACATTACATTGAGTAATTACTAAGACTGAATACGAATCAAAAATACAGTAGACTATTCAAGTAAATTACACTATTCAAACTAAAATAACTAATCAGTTTTACATTGAAAAATGTAATGATTATCAGAAATAATTTCACAAATTTTTTCTGTTGCTTACAACCATGCTTCCAACAGCATATATCATTATAACATAATGAATGGTAAATAAGTTAGACTGAAAGGTAAATTGATATGGGAAGAAGGCATTCCGAATTAATTTTCAGAATGGAATACAAAAGGTTTAATGCTTTGCAAAATGTACACAAAAAGTTAAAACAGCACAATGCAGCTAGATTCAAATGAAAATTATAACTTTTGCGAAAAAGGAAAGTGAAAAACTTGAATTACTGAAATGCAATCACAAAACTTATAAATGAATCGGTGTCATCAAAGCTCTGCCAGAAAAATACTATTACCAGGGCAAGTCTATTTAAAATTAAGGTAAACAGCTATCTTGCTAAACTGGCAACTAATTTTTGCATCGAATCTGGCTAGATATCAGTAAAACGTTTGCAACCACTGCGACCATTTAGTGACACTTTGGTCCAATCCCTGCATAACTAACTGATAACTATATTTAACTGTATCTAGACCTTTTAATTAAATTTAACCGTATACGTCTTCCAGTAATTTTGAGAAATGAAACATACTAGAGATTTCTCGGTGGACAGGGGAAATCTATATAAGACCAGACACAGCATCAGCTCTCAGTTGTTTAGTTCAGCGTTGTTTAGTTCAGCGTTTCCATGACAGTACTGAGAGATCTCCATTGAGTCTAGCCTTTTAGATTTACTTTGTGCTGTGTTTAACATTCTTAGTAGTCTAAAGTGTAACTATTAATTGTACTCTTGAGATACTGAGAAGAACTGTATGAGTATTTTTGTGGAAAGCTCCAGAAGTGTAAAGTGTTTCTTTTAGTAAAAATTAATTTTATAATGCAGTCATCAGTTTCGTGTGCAGTCAGTTCATTATGTACTCGTTTGCACATTACACTACTACAAGAAAAAAACTTAAATAGAAAGAAATTATCTACCACAATAGTTGTATTATAAAGTATGGCATATATTAACAAATAAGGACCAAATTTCTATTTTTGTTTGACATTAGTAATGGTTAAAAGCTGCTAATAAAAGTTATTCACTTAAAAAGGTGCAGCTCTCAAATTTCTCCTCAAAGAATGCCTTTTAGTCCAGTAAGTAAAGCTTTAATGAGTAAGAACATACATGTAGAATTCACATGAATACAGACTGCTTTCTTGCATCCTGAAGTGCATCAAATTATTGTTAACACTACACAAAACCAGAATCGCATTAATCATTAAGAATGTCCATTAATATAGCTTGTAATATTTTTTTTTACTCAGTCGGACATGCAAATGTTAATTTTTTAAAATTTTCTGTTAAGTTATTCTAGTATATTTGGGAACTTGATACATATTATGAATGGCTTACACTTCCATTTCCACTATCAAGGTATTAAGGATCTGTATACATATTTTAAAAGATGTATGAATAGTTACAGCAGTAAAAAATACATGAGAACTTACTAGCTTGATTCCCAGATTTTACTAATTGATAGTATTAGCATTTTTTTTTAACATTCCATTCACTAAATATACATACATACCATGCCTCTCATTTTCAGATTCAGAAATTTGCTGTTTGACCAATTTATCCACCTCAGCTTCAACTACTTCAGAAGGGAATGTATGAGCTTTAGCAAATCCACTTAAGGAATTCCAAGTGTACCGCAGAGTTTCCATGACCTTTTCCTTTATTTCAATACCAACTTTGGCCAAATTTTCCCGGATTTCTAAGCATTTTTAATAAAACAATTGCATTTTATTGTAAATAGACTTCAACTGCATCAATAAAACATTATACAATGATTATAAATGTATAAAACAAGGCAATAAGGAATTTAAACTTTGTTGAAGTTATTATTGCAAATATCTAAACTAGTCTTAAAAGCATCTACTGCATGAATTTTTTATATAGCTCAATCTATTTTAGAATTCAATAACCTTACATGAAAATATGTAGGGAAAATTCAGTTGGCAAAATTTAATGCATTATTTTATTTACTAAACTTACCTTTTAACTTTAAACCTTTTAACTATAGCTAGCACAAGATGATGTCTCTTAAGGAGTCTGCCCAGATCAAGTTCTTTGATGTTAGCATACACATAAAAAGTCTTTATGAAAACATGTTAACATATCCAATCATAAAATCAGCTCACCAGACAAAGAACATCAAAAATTTTTTCAGAAGTTCTGATTAAGACTTCACTTAAAAAAACTACTATCACATATGACACTAAAAAGCACTTCCCAGCTATCTCAAAACTTCAATGTTTTATTTAATTGAGAACTATTTTAATAATTCATTGCATTCTGTATTACACATCAAACAGATAGAATTTTCTCAATTAAAAAAAATCAATTCTGTAAAAATTATAAAATCTAACATTTACACTATCTCAACATTTTTACCTATAATTTTAAGAACTTTAATGCTCATTTCTTACACGATAAAAATATTTAGTTTGAGGTACATGAATTGAACAGCCAGACAGACGCGACTAAAAACAAAATACCAGTTTAGAAAACTGTTTCTGGCATTAACTGATTATGTGACAAGCATTGCTATATAGATTGTTACGAAAAGTGTTGAACTAACTTTTTTTCAAAAATGAGATTCTATTCAAACTATCTTACAACATTAATGCTTTAGAAAATAGTGGCAGACTTCAGTACTAGTACATAGACAACTCACAATATTACATGCATAAATTAGGAATTCAAAATACTTCCAGTTTAATGAATTTTCTGTATAGTTATTATATTATGATGCTAAAGCAATAAAACTGCATGAGAATATTGACATATTTTTAACATATGAAAACAAAATTCATTCGGCATAACACACATAACAAAACAAATAATCTCACAAATTAGTAAATTACAAGAGATTAGTAAATTACATTATTAGATTAGTAAATTACAAGAGAATATCACTGAATGGCATTTAAAGGGAAAAAATCTCTAATTTTCTTTTTAACTAACCCCACAAAGTAAGCTGAAGATGATGTTGAAAATCCCAAACTTTAAATCGGTCATTTCCTTTTTCGACACACCAGTGAAACTCTGTGTTTTATATTTAATAATGAGTATAATTTTTTCCTAAGAGTAAATATAGAATCCAGAGAATCACATAAAATTTAAGATTTTGTAATTTTTACAAAATTCATATTTTAAAGTAGCAAAATATAGATATTTGCATCATTTGAAACACTTTTATAATTGGAAATAATTACCTACAAATAATGGTTGTAAAAATAAAGGCCATAAAGACGTGTGTGCTTTAGTTTCTAAAAACCAAAATACTGATGAGTCTGGGTGATAACCTTTGACCATTATTCTTACTATTTTCTATTTCATTGACTTTCATAATTTTTCGAAAATAGAAAAGAAGTCTTTCAACATATGAAGGTGACACAAAACGTGATCATACTCAAATTAAATTTGGAAGAGGACTAAATCTCCTTGATATGTCAGCCTTCTTCTGGGACGTCAAAAATAATTTACTTACTTTTTTATGTAATGTACTAGCCTACTTTACTATTTATGGATGTATTATTATTTTTTTAATTTTAAAATGTACGTTTTTGGTGCATACAAATACAAATTTTAAACAGCTTCTAGGTTTATTACATGTTTTCAACAGTTTTATTAAAGTCATCTTAAGGACTAACATTTCCTAATTTTAATTTGCAACAGTTTTACCCTTTCTTTCTAGGAAGTAATCATGAATGGAAAATTACTACTATACACTGACGAGTGAAAACATTATCACCATTCCCACATTCTTCAATGAACTCATCTGGATGACATGGATGGCATGTGATTAATTTGTAATGATATTTAACTGCTGCTGAAGAAGGTAAGGAATCATTCTTGTACTTACTTTTATGACTGATGGAAAAGGCTGCTGTTCTAAGTGAATTTGCTAGAGGGCAGATTGTAATGGCCCGAAGACTTCGAATGAGTATCTCCAAAACTACACAACTGGTAGGTTGCTAACAATCTGCATTATTGGTATTTATGCAAAGTGGATAAATGATGGTGAAACCAGCAGTAGATGCCAAGGAGATGAACATCCATGCATCATGGAAAAAAAAAAAAAAGTGATTGTCCCGCTTGGTTCAGCAAAATCAACACCAGCTGACAGTCAAATACTATGTAAGTTCAAGTGCAAGTGTTTTGTAACACACAGTTCAGTAGACACTGTTGGATATGGGGCTGCACAGAAGACATCCCACTCATGCGCCTCTGTCGACCAAGCATTGTGGTCAACTAGTCACATAGTGGGCCTGGGAACATCAAGACTGGACCATGGATAAGTGGTAGAGAGTTGCCATATATCATATAAATCAGTTTTTCATTCATCATGTTCGTGGTCATATCAGGGTACATCATCTTCCAGGCAAACAGTTGCTGCCCCCTGTACAGCAAGTCATACACAGGCTGGTGGTAGGGCAACGTGCTTAGAGGGACGTTCTTGTGGGTAGCTCTGGGATCTTTAGTTGTGATAGAACAGACCATGAAAGCTGTAAACTATCTGAATATGACTATAGATCACTTGCACCCTCACATGGTATCTGTCTTCCCATGGAGAACAGATGCCATGTAAGGGTAGAAGTGGGAAAGGAATCTTCCAGCAGGACAATGCCCCATGGCACAAAGCTCGAACTGTGTTGGAGTGGTTTGAGGAGCATAAGGTTAACTTCCAATTAATGTTCTGGCCACCTAACTTACCGAATCATATCCTGACAGAGCACATTTAGGATGTCATGGAGTGGTTGCTCAGAGCTCAAACACCAGCGTGTCTGACTCAACTCTGTGTGACCGCTGCGAGGACATTTGGTTCATCTACCAAGAGCTTGTGGCATCCATGCCAAAACAAGTTTAAGTTGTTTTACATGCCAAAGGTTGTGCAATGCTTTACTGAGTAGGTGGTTATAATGTTTCGGATCTTCAGTGTATATACATAATACACATGCACAAAAGTATGCTAGTTTCATTCTATGAATTTTTTGTGTACATGCATTGCACATACTTCTGATGTTACACTAGAGCCTATCAAGCCAAAAATTTTTATTTAAAAAAATGAATTAACATCAACTATGTGAAATAGTAAATAGTACATTACAGTTCTGGAACACAAGAAACAGAAAAACATACATTACACTAGATAAGATTTAAAAAGTTTAAAGTTACCTAAATGCATACGTTTCCTTCCTTTATGATGAGGTATCAGTACAGGTTTTGCAGAAAAGTTGGGATCAATTAATGGCTCTATACGAAATGCCTTGATTTAAAATTTAAAAAAAAAAAAAAAATTACTTCTCCATAATTATTCACTGCATTAACCAAAATACTATGATGATAGAACATACTTTTAAAGAAAGTATTTCAATATTATGTAATATGCTTTAGAAAAATACCCAAATTACCAAATTAAGAGTTACTTACCACTGGATCATACTGAAAAGAAATGAAAAAAGGTTTTTTTAAATGAAAGCACAAAATAATTTTATGTTACTAAATTTAAAAGCAAAAATCAATAAATAAATTAATAAAATCAGTTACCGGATGGAATATATGAAAGAATGATGGGCAAGTAGGAAACCTAAAATCTTCACTTATTGTGTCAAAACCTCGAACAGCCAGAAACATAGAAATTGGTGACCCAAGAGCAAAAAAACAAGCTGGTTCAAAATGCAACCTATAATACAAGTAGAACAATTTAACAGAGATATGCAGAAGATAAAATCTAATGACTCTCTAACATGTCTACTGACATGAATTTTAAAATAATGGTACATGTCTATTTACAGAATGAAATAAAAATAACTTTTTAATATATTACTCAAAGAAGAGCTTTCAATTGATAAAAGAAAATCTTCTTACTTAAAATCCTAGATGAAAACTTAACACTTGCATTTTAAGAGTATGAGACTATGTTAAAATCTAAGAGCAAACAGTAATAGTTAAGATAACAGTAATTATATCTCAGCTAAATGGATATTATTACAAAAAAAAAAATCACCTTGGGTATTTTATTGCCGACATGCAAGAATTTGGCGTTTGTGATGGATATTCATAAGCTCTTTTTCCAAAATCCTGATCACTTTCTTCCAGTTTATTTTCTGATTTTCCATTGACATCTGAAGAAGTATCCTTCTTTTCTAATGGTGACTGCTAAACCAAAAGACAACCTTATGTGAGTATATCTGTTCAAATTTTCATATAAACACACAAAATAATTACAATATTTTCAAAATATAGCAAATGAAATTTTTGACAAAAATGATTTCTGCCATAAATTAAAAATTCTTGATCATTATTTACTTATACAATTTCTTTTATACACTTTTTGGTACTTATTTAAAAATTCTCATCATTTTTCCTTTTTAAAAAAAGTGCTGATGAAAAGTCACTCTTGAAGTGAAAATGACATTACTTTGAACATTTAATAGGATTTCTCATTTTCTGTAGTACTTCTTTAGCACAAACTCAAAGTTTTACGATGAAAATAATTTACATATGTGATGTAAATGAGGAGAAAGAAAACAGCAATTTCTAAACCATACCGTTTCTAATACTACCTATTAAAGTATAAAAATAAAATTCCTGAAACATAGCTAGCTAAAGTCATTTTTGCACTACAAGGAGGAGATATTCCATGACATTTCAATGTCAGATTTTATACTGCATAAAATTTCTCCAAATAGTCAAGAGAAATTAAATCATAGTAAATTTGAAAAAATTCAATAACAGGCAAACAACAATTAAAATTACTAAGCTGTATACCAAAATACATACTGGAAATTAAATATCACTAAAAATAATGAAGATATAAGAAATAAAACAAGTTGGTTAGTTAAAATAATGAAGATATAAGAAATAAAACAGGTTGGTTAGTTAACTGATTAAGGGAAAGCATATGAGGGCTATCAAACAAAGAGAAGGATGGGTTTCTAGGAGAATTTTTTTGTGGAAAACTGACAGATAGTTACATTACACATGGAGAAAACCATGAAATACCTATAGAGTCAGCTTCTTCACCAGATTTGAACCAAATTTGCTTAGGAAAAGGAAAAAAAACAGCAACTCTGAAATTCGTGAAAAGAGTAATTATAATAAATGAATGAATGCAGACAACAAATATAAGTCATAGACTAATTTTTAGGACCAATGTAGAATGAACATTGCTTAGTTATAAAAATTATTTTGCTACTTATCAATGACCACATTTTATTTTAAAAGTTTCCTTCTTTATTTTATTGGCTTGGCTTGTTTACATAACAAATTAAATTCTCAGGGACAAAAGTACATCTGGGACCCTTCTGGTAAATTTATAACAAAACATTACATAAATTAATTAATTTCATTAGGTTTCTAGTGAGACAATGAGACTTCACACAGTTTCTATTGAGACAGGTTAATACTAACAGACTACACTTACAAATTTCTAAAAATTTTAAATAAAACTCAAATATACAAACACACAACAATACATTTACAAAATGATTTTAAATTGCAATTTTTTTCCCCTAACATGAAATGCCTACCAGTGGCTGAGTGCTTAAAGTCACTGAACACTGGTAGTTAAACCAAGGCTCTATTTCAAGTGAAAAGGCTGGTTGCATGGGTGTTTTTATGGTTTTCTCCATGTGTAACATGTATGCCAGCATGTTTCTCTTAGAAAGTCCACCGTGAAGGTATCCCTCCTCTAAGGCAGATAGCCCGTGCATGCTTTGGGATACTTATATAAACAAAACCAATTTTAACATAGAAATAGAAATAAAAAAAATTTCATCAGCAAAATTGCAAGAGTAATATCAGTTACTAACACATATAAACAGCAGAAAGTGCAAGCATGCTAAAGAGCAATTAAGTGGCAATAAAAATAATAACTGCTCTAAACAAAAAATTACATACACATTCATGATTCATCCTTGTATGAATGTAGTTCAGAAGTTTTGTGCGAGGACCAGTAGGTATTCCAAGATTTTTAAGATCATCATTAGCTAAAAGAGGCTAAAAAAGTACATTTAAGCAACAGTTATAGATAAAAATCATGGCATTAAAGAAATCTTCACTTATGAGCATTACTACAGTGTACAGAACTAATATTAACATGAATATTATTTACATTAGAGTACATAATTATCACAGATAAATGCTACACTTGAAAAACACAAATCTAACACAACATAACTTTAAAATAAGCTTTGTTGGTTCTTGTACATGTTTTTTTGCTTACTGAAGAAATAAATATCAAAACAATTTCATAACTGCTGAAGAAGACTGAATGAATAAAAAAATTAAAACATGGATTTCATGTATTTATTTCAGAATTAAACAAAACACATAGTATTCAACAACATTTCGTATGGCATAACAGGCAGTATCATATAATCAAAAGTAAACAGAAACTTACAAGTAGCACAAAGTAAAAATCTCCAACTGGGAAGGGGTCCAAATTTTTCAGAATTTCTTTCAGAGGTAGAAAATGTCATGTAATACACTATGTTAAGTTTAAGAAATAATCTGATCAATTATAATTATTACTATTCTATTAACTAATTAATTTACTTAATATACAGGGTGTCTTAAATAGGGACGCATGAACTGCATGAAATTTGATTGAAGATACCCCCTCCCCTCTTATCTAATCCACGAACTGCGTGACATTTTCCTGTCCCCTCCTTCTAAGAACTTGAATTCCCAAAAAGATGGGTGCTACAAAAAGACATTTATCACCATTAATGGGACATTTTATTGAGACTGCAAGCCTCTATTTTCATTTTCAATATTGTAAAAATTGTCATACAAAACAAACATTAAATTTAAAATTTGGCATGCGCTAATGTAAAAAATGAATTTCTTTTACACTCATTTTAAAGTTTTATGATGCTTAAAAGAATAATGAGCCAGATCTTTTTTATTCTCTGTAAGAATGAAAAACTTTCCAAATTGTAGATTTTAGCTGCTGATATATATATAATAGGAAGAAAAATTGTAGTGAGCTTGCCAAAAATTTACCAGGCAGTTTTGAATAATAAAATTGATAGATTAATGACACACATAAAACTGATACATAATCAAATCAATCTATCAAATATTGGATTTGTAGCACAACTTAAATAAGTTTTCTTCTCTAGATAAATATTAAGAAAATCTTCTTAGATAGCAGAATTTACTATTTTAGGTAAAGAGTTCTAATTTAATTTAAAAAATTATCTTTATTAAATCTAAAAATTGGACTTCTTAAGTCGTTCTAAATTCACACTAATATTATTGCAATATATTCCCATATTAAGCTTTCCATTTTTAGTCATTTAAGTTATTTTAAGGTTATTTAACTTTACTAATTCAGAAGTCAAACAACAAAAATCAGCGTTATATTTTCAAATTTTCACAGGACTAGTTTACCATCCTCAGCAAACCACCATCCTCAGCTGAAAAACTGCAAATGAACAAGATAAGAAATAGTGATTAGATAAGATAAGAGAGCCTGGTCAAGAATAAGCAAGTGGCGCCACCTGTTGGTGAAACCAGAACTAAAACATAATATTTTAAAGTTCAAAGGTAAAGATGGATTGGAATTAGGATCGTTAACTAGAACAGAAAGATTTTTTTGAATGTGAATGCCTCTAGAAAATCCAGTTCCCCAATTGAAGATGTTTTTTGAATAATTTTGGCAGCAGAAAAATCGAAAGTGTGATTTTCAGATCAACAATGTTGAGCAACAGAAGACTTCTGTGCTTCCTTTTTTTCTAACATATGCGGCATGTTCCTTGACGCGAAATTTTAAGGCTGTCTTAGTTTGGCCAATGTAAATTAAACCACACTAGCATGAAATCCTATAAATACCCCAAGAATTCATATCCGGAATGGGGTCCTTGAGTATGGAACTCGGAATTTTATTGATGGGAGAATAAACAACCCGAAAGTTAAATTTCTGCAAAATATGTGCAACTTTACAGCTAATTGATAAGAAGGGAATGAACACAGAATTTTTATCATCTCCTAAAACAAGAGTGTGCCTTTTAGTGTGTTGAGATGAGAATTTTTTAACTGCTTGATTAATAATGTTGGGTGAAAAGCCCCTGTCAATAGCTATTGCTTTTAAATAATTTAGTTCTTCATCAAGGGATAGTTTGGAGAAGCGAACTTGAAGAGCACGGAAAACATAGGAATAAAATGAAGCTAACTTTTGTCTAGTCGGATGGCATGATTTAAGGTATGGTGGAAGGCAAACCGATAATGGTTTACGGTAAACCGTAGTACTGAAGTTGGATTTGTTACGTGTGACCAGAATGTCGAGAAACGGAAGAGAATTGCAAGTCTCAAGTTCAAAAGTGAACTGAATAGCAGGATCAATAGAATTCATTGTTGAAAGAACTTAAAATTTAAATCATCTTTATTACCTTCAAACAGGATAAAAGTATCATCTACGTAGCAGAACCATACCGGGAAGTTTAAAGTTTCAAACAATTTTGATTCATAATAATGCATGCGGATATCAGCCAGGATCGGACTGAGGGTGTTTCCCATGGCTAATCCCTCAGTTTGCTTGTAATATTTATTTTGGAACACAAAATGTATTTGTTTCAAACAGAGTTGAGTGAGAGAAATTAGCTCATCAATTTCGATGCAAGAGAAATGAAATTCGCAAAGTCTGGTTTCTAGACATCTTAATGCACCCTCCACTGGAACATTGGTGAATAATAATTTTACATAAAAAGAAACCATGAGTAAATTTCTAGGAGAAATGTTTTGAACCTTTTTTATGGTGTAAATGTCTTATCTAATCACTTTTTCCTATCTTGTTCATTTGTGGTTTTGCAGCTGAGGATGGTGGTTCGGTAAAACCATCGAAACTAGTCCTGTGAAAATTTTGAAAATATAACGCTGATTTTTGTTGTTTGACTTCTGAATTAGTATTTATTCGGCATGTTATTGTGTCTTAATTATTTAACTTTGTTACAAATTCCATATTTTAATACTAGAAATGTTTAAATATTTATTCTGTTTTCCCCCTGATGTACTTTGGCATACATTTAATTTCTAATACACATTTAATTAATAAATTAATAATTATGAGCGTCAGCAGAATTTTCATAATTAACAAAGAAAAATTCAAACTCCCTTATATTCATATTTTTACCAAAGCAGCCATATTTGTTTATATTTGAAACTCGGCAGAATTGCGGATTTTTTGCCAATCTAGAGAAACTAAGCAATAATAAAGATAATATCTTTTATTATTGCAAATTAAATCATGCTTAATCCATTCGGGAATTATCATTTAAGTTAATTATCACTGAAGTTATTAAATTATTCCATATATTGACTCTGCAAAGTGTCCACAATAAATTAAGTTAGTTTCTACAATTTCAGTGTCTTTTTGCTGCCTTTGTCTTGCCTTCAGTAAACTATCAGTTTTGTGTAGCGAAAAATCTGCCTTCTTGCCTGCTTTTGCATAGAAACCTAATTCTAATTGTAAAAATTGTTCTTTATATTGTTTTAACTGTGTTTTTATGCTTTATATTTTTCTATATTTTTTAAATTTTAATAAAGATATTTTTGAGGTTTTATTGTATTTTTGTCTTGTCACAAAGTGAGAATTAAATTAATTGAATGAGAAATATATTCCTAATGAAATTCGAGGAAATAAGTTTAAATGAAATGCATTAAAAAATGAGTATAATTTAATATTCCTACCTACATTCCAACCTAATCAAGTTTACTGCATCAGAAGAGAGATATGATTTTGGCAATTTTAAATGAAATCAGTAGCTTTATGCCACTTACATAATGCAATATGAATCTAGAATTTTTCTTCATTTTTTGCATTTATTCTGAATTTAATAAAAGAATCCTTCTTTTCATAAAGCTCTTTCATAAGGTTTGCCATCTAGTTAAAAATTTTGCCAATGCTTATTCTTACCATTAAGTGATGTGCCCATAGCAGGGGTAACCAATATTTCTGTAATAAGAAGTATATGTCAATAACCAATGGATGTGAAAGTAAAGGCAGCATAATGACTTTCTGTGGATACAGGGTATATTATCACAAAAAGCTTATTTTGTAGCATTTAGCATTCACCTATATAAGGTATATCTCCTGCCTTCCTAGTGTGCCTTCGTGGTGTAATGGTCAGCACACTGAGCCGGTATTTCTGAGGTCCGTGGTTCGATTCCCGGTGAAGGCGTTGCTAATTTTTCAATCTCTCTTGCTTGCAAAAAGTCCTAATGTCTCTACAGTGGCACCTGAACTAAAAAGGGTGTTGAATGATGGTTTTCCACACCCAGGATTTGGATATTGGGTCCCCTTAAAACGCCAGTCACCTTTTAAAAGGAGGAGTATATAAGGCATTTCTCCCACCTTCCTAGAGTGCCTTCATGGTGTAGTGGTTCTGCATGCTGGGCTGGTATTCCAGAGGTCTGTGGTTCAATTCCCGGTGAAGGCGTTTCTAATTTTTCATCTAGCCTGCTACCAAAAAAAAAAAAAAAAAAAAATACCTAATGTCTCTACACCTAAAAGTGAATGACATAAAATGTGAGAAACAAAGATTTTAGCATCTTTGTGAAATATACTTTAATCCGATGTGCTCTGGAGAGTATTCTTATGGATGTATGAGAGTTTCTCTAAAAATGTGTAACAAGCACAAAATATGGGCAAAAGTGTAAAATTCCAAAATATTTTAGCTGCCTGAACATTGGCAAACACAAAATTTTTATAGCCATATGCAGAAATTCTCAAATAGCTTACTTTAAAATGAGAAGTGAAGTATCAGCTCCAAAATACATCCAGAAAAAAATCTTTCCTAAAAACAATCTGGCTAGTGTTTGAATTCCATGTGAAAAAAATCATAAAAAAGACCTGGATAAATTCCTTTTACTAAAGAAAAATCTTGACGATCTTTGATTTTTAAAGTCTGTTGATAACTTATATCACATGGTTGAAGAATTAATTCATCAAAAATATTTTTTCCCCTGAAGTTACATTGCATTTTTCTTTTGGGACACTCATAATAATTTTTCATCTGTTAAAAAACTGAGGAATGTGTATACCTGAAAATACCAGTCTTTATTTATATACACATACAAATCTAAGCTTGGAATTGGATTAAAGCTTAGAAATGCATTCCATTTTAAAATGACATTCATTAAATATTCATGCATATTACTCTAATTAAATTTAAGTATTTCTAAAATGACAAATTAGTACAGAATTAAGGCATTCCTTTCAGGTACTCTTGTAATGTAAGAAGTGGAAAACTGAGACATATATCTGAGGTCCTATGTTTTTGCTTCTGCACAAAAGAACCATTAAGATTCATACAAATCTTAACTTCAAAGCTTATTTTAAACTAGGTCTAACTTCAGCTTTCTGCCTTCACCCACTCATGATGATTCACACAATAAAGTTATATACATATATAAAATAGCATACCAATGTTGCCAAATCTATTCGTTCTCTTGCAAATACTTCTTTAAAATCGTCTAAATTGAGAGACTCAAGTATGGAGCCAACAGATGTAATGGACCCATCGTCATTTGAAGCTGTTTCGAGCTTTGGTGGCTCACTGCTAATACTTTCAAGATTTTTGTTTTTTTCATCCATTTCATCATTAAGTGACTGACTAATGGCATCACATATATTTTGATTTGCAAGAATATCAAATAAGATTAAAGAACCTAAAAATACAAAACTAAACTTAACAAACAACAGAAATAATCAAACAGGCATATTAATGACATTTCTTTAATAAATAATAATGCAAAATAATATGCAGCAGTTTAAAATACATTACACACTAATGTCCTAAATTAAACAGTGCACGTAACAGTATATAGGGTTCTAGGAAAAAAGCCCACAAGAAAAAAGCCCAAAGGAATAATGCTCACAGGTATAAATGCTCACAGGAAAAAAGCCCACACAGAAAATAACTTACATGGGAAAATGCTCACACGGAAAAAATCTCACATAGATCTATGCTCACATGGAAATAAGCCCACTGATAAATAAAATATGCAGAAATATCCTTGCATTAATCAATCAATAATTGATTTGAAAATGGCACAACTACTTGAATTTTTTAAAGAAAAATTTCACTACTGCATAAAAGACAGTATTTTAATTAGGGCAATGGCAACACATTTCCTTACAGATCGCCGGGTTTGCAGATTAAATTTAAAAGATAAATATTTTGCATTTTCCTGAGTTGCAACATACTTTTTTTATATCAAACTTTTCTGATTAAAGTTGAAACATAAATATTTTATGCCTTACTGAATGCCAACACAAAGCTTTCACTTTTTAAACAAAAAATCTGTAAATTTGCACAAAATATGAAACAAAAAATAAATTCAAAATTTGGGCTTTGAGGTGTACATGTTTGGGTGAACACTATGTGTGTTCAAAATTTGGTGGCTCTATGTGAAAGTTTTTTCACAATGCGCATGTTTGTTGAGTAGCAATATACTTTTTATACCTCTTGATTATTTCTGATTAAAGCTGAGACTTATGCATTGACTAAATCTGACACACAAATATATTACACTTTGCAGAATGGCAACATCAAACAAAACATTTAAACTGTTGAGATTTTAATCGAAAATTGCTTAAATCCACAAAAAATAAATTTAAAAAAATTCATAATTCAGTCTTTGAGGTGCGCATGTTTGGGTGGTTTGGTTTTAGTTTGTTTGATTACAGAAAAACATACAAGAGTTATCTGCTTCACATGTTAGGTTAAAATTTGGTGACTCTAGGTGTTGCTGTTTTTCCACAACACAAGGAACATACATGCATACATATATATATATCATTATTTTATATTAGAGATAGAGTAAGATGAAGGTCATTGGAAAATCTGGTTAAATCAGACAAGCAGAGGGGGCACTTTCAAATAAGTAGTACACTATAATGCAGAAACAAGTCACACCTTCTGGATGTGGTAAACAATTGTGATGTGAAACAACAAAAGTGGGAAAAAAGGGGGGTTTCATAATGGACCACCTTGTGAGAATTCTTGTACCTTCCTTTTAATAATGTCTACATATTATGGTTAAATAAAAATCGATCAATTATTGGGTCCTTAGTTGCATTTAAAGGTTCCAGTTGCAGAAATGACTTAATAAAACCGGCTTGCTGACTAGGACAATTTCGGTGACATGCTATATTTTAGCAAAATTTATAAAATTTATCATAAAAGATGCAATTAGTAAGTTCATTTCTCCATTAAAGCTCTTTCTAACAAGCATAAAATCCATAACATGATAAATTGCTGGGGGGACTCAAAATAAAAATGTTTAAATGGCCTTTCACTTACAGAAGGAATATCAATCTTAGGGCACTATAAAAACGAATTTTTATTAAATAAACCATTTTTAATTTTTGCATTTCTAAAAATGCTTAAAAGCTATATATGCATGTATATATAAAGAGAAGAATTTATTTATGAGAAGAGTTTCGTATATTAGCTATTATCTCCTAGGAAAATACACTTGATGAAAAGCGATTTAGAATTCTATTGTAGTAAAAATTTTCTGCCAGCAGTTTAATTAAGAGCGATTTAGAATTCTATTGTATTAAAACTGTGCCAGCAGTTAATTAAGAGTTGGAAAGAAAAACATTTCTAGACAAAACAGTAAAAACCATAGCACCAAAATTGCAGCTAATGTTATTGACTGTAGATTGACTTATCAAGGGCAGAAAAACCAATCCACAGTCAATTAACAATAACCAAAATAAGCTAGTGTATTTCGTCTTTTTTCCAAGAAAGAATCAAATTTTTTTTCAGGATGGAACAAATTGAGGCTACTTGAGTTAAAAGCCATGAACAAAACTGAATATGTGATAAATGAAAAAGAATAATTAATTAGTTATGCTACTAAACAAGTAAAAACCAAGAATCAAACCGAATTTATCAGTAAAGTAAAAAAAAAAAACATCCTTACACTAGAAAAACATTCCCCAACACTCGCATAGTTAAGCATAGTAAATCAATGTAAAAACAATGTAAAAAATATAAAATGATTGAAACATGCACAAAATTAATACAGTCTTATTAGTTTTCCCTAGAAAAACATTCTCTAACATTCCTGCAGTTAAGCATAGTAAATCAATGTAAAAAATATAAAACGATTGAAACATGCAGAAAATTAATACATTCTTATTACTTTTAAATGCAAAATCAAAAGGTAGGTATTTAAACACAGATTTAAGTATAAAATCAGACTAGAAAGGAATTAAAATTAACTTACCTGTTTGGAAAATTTGAATCCGAGACAAAATAGCTCATGTATATATGTCTCATATATATAAGATAAAATATGTAACACTGAATTATACTTTAAATTAGCAACAGCCCCTTAATTCCTCTTTTTTAATTTGAGTGTTTACCCCCTTCCTATTCTAAAAATAGTAACAGCTTTTCAAAACAGAATCATAACTGAAAAGTAATTCTGCTATATCATTTTTCCCTTTTGCATGCTGTATAATATAATTGCATAATATAAATCTTAGCCAATCAGATTAAGGAAAGATTTACTATATATATTACTGCAATCCAACCATATTCTCCCTTTTGCCATCCTTTCCTGCAGTAGCCTACAAGTGACACTCAGTTCGCTGTACAGTCCATTTTTTGAGCACGGGCTAAGTTTTACAATTGTCGGGTATATAATGCACCCATAATGCTGTGCAAAGCAAATATCGTGTCTCCAAAATTGCTTTAGTCAATAATTAAATTACATTGAATTCGGCCACATTTGTCTGCAATTCCATCATTTCCATCCATATGGCTTTGTCAATCCCTGTGCCCAGTTTGGGAATCAACAAGTCAACACCATCGAATCATTACAATTATAATTTAGCCATCACGATTTTCACCTCTCTCGTGAAACTTCAACAGAAAATTGGTCAATGTATAATAGCCTTGCCTTTAGTGCAGTTTATCTACAATATTCAAATAAATATGTTTGTTCATCTGAAAGTTTGAAAGTTCTAACATGAAATGCAGAATCACTATTTCAATTTAAAGCTAATCTGGTTAGGAAATTTTTTCAGTCTCTTCTTCAATATTCAGTAATAAAAAAAAATCCACTTTTAAACCATCGAAGTTATATATTGCTTAAGAGATTCAGCTTTGCAGTGGGTTTAAGGTCATCGATCTGGGTTTAATGTGCTTCAAGTAGAAGCAACAGAAAATTACTATTTGTGCTTCTGCTTTTCTTAATAGCATATTGTCAGTCAAAAACTCAAAACTTATCTTTGTATGAACTAAGGTTCATTTTCCAATGAAACAAAATAATTAAATATACAATGGGTTCTATTTTATATCTAAATTTTGTTTAAAATTTCAGCAATTTCATTGTGCTGTTTTGAAAGCATAAAATTATTGTTCAAGGAATGAAAGCATAACAATTCAATATACGAGGTGTGACAAAAAAAAAATGACTGTGTAGCTTGGAAAAAAAAAGTGGAGTTGGTAACAAATATTTTGTTGATGTCATCCCACATACCTGCTCTATCTATGCGACCAGTTTCGCCTTAACCGATCATGCCAGGTGGGAGTACTGTAACAGTGAGTGAACATGTGCAACTGCATTCTGCCAGAAAAATGTCTAATGTAAAAACTGAACAGTAAATGAACAAGTTTCTGATTTCTTAAACTCAGCCACAGAAACATTTCAAATGTTAAACAAGCCTTATGGAGATTAAACTTTGTCTCGTACACATGTTTTAATGGCATAAGCGGTTTTCAGGAGGAAGGGACAGTGTGGAAGATGATCAACGTGTTGGGCACCCAAGGTTAGAGATTACAGACCAAAACATTTCCAAAGTTCATGATCCAGGGTGGCCGAAGATTAAGTGTTTGTGCAGTGGTGAAGTTGGTTAATTTCGATAGGAAAACTGTTCAATGCATTTTAACTGACAAATTACACATGATGAAGATTTTATGTGAAGGTTTCCAGTGACCAAAAACAGTGCCATAAAGATATGTGTGTGGACATGTTAGAGCACATTGCAAACAAGCCAAATTTGTTGGAATCTGTTGTAAAATGTGATGAGACATGGATTTTTACCTATGACGCACAAAGTAAGTGCCAGTCGATGCAGAGTCTCCAGGATCCCCAAGACCCAAAAAGGCAGGCAAGTCAATATCAAAATTCAAGGTAATGCTAATTGTCTTCTTCGACATTAATGGAATTGCAATGATTGAGTGGGTTCTCAGAGGTCAGACTGTTAATCAACACTGCATTGAAGTACTAAAAACTACATTGAAGTACTAAAAAAGACTACATTGAAGTACTAAAAAAGACTACATTGAAGTACTAAAAAAGACTGTGAAAAAATTAGGAAAGAAAGGCCACAGTTGTGGAGTGATGGATGGCGGTTGCACCAGGATAATGCAACCACTCACACGGCCCTATCTGTCAAGCAGTTTCTGACCAGCAAAAACAGTACTGTGATGGGGCAACCTCCGTATTCACCTGATTTGGCTCCATGCGACTTTTTATTTCCTAAAGTTAAATCTTGCTTAAAGGGAAGCAGTTTTACCTCAGTTGAAGAGGTTCAGGCAAAAACGGAGAATCTCCTCAAGAGGTTTTCCAAAAACCCTGTTCCAGAACTGTTACCAGCAACTGCAGCACTGAATGCAGAAGTGTGTGAATGCTCAAGGGGACTAACACTGAAGTTGATAATGTCACGGAAAACTGATTAATTTATTGGACCAGTCTTTTTTTGTGTGTGTCACACCTCATATATGCGTAGTTTTGGTTTTGAAAGCGTGAATTTTATGAGTATTTTTAATCTTATTTCATAATATATTTTTAATGTTGTTATCATAGTTTACAATATATATTTTTTCTTGGTCATGAAAACGATAATTTGAACATTCATTAATGTAATGAAAAATGTTTTATACAAAAGAAAACTACTAATAATAGTTATTGTTATTTTGAGATTTGAATGTGCAATGCTATTTCTTCTTACATTGGATTAAAAGTCTAGCAATGTTTTATGAAAAACGAAAGATTAAAAATTATATGGTATTAGAAATTGTAATTTTGCTAATTCGGTTTAATCAATTTTAAAAAAATTTTACTTAGAGAATGTTACTAACATGATTAAGCTATTTTTGCATTGTTTAAATATCTTTGGATTAATATTTGAATTTTTTAATTATTTCAATGAGATTATTGTTTAAAAATTTTTATTCTAAGAATTTTAATTATTTTAAAAATATTAACTTTAAAGGCTCCCACCTTATAATTTTTTCACATGTAATTATTATTTCACGTGATTATTAATTATAAGCATATACTGTTTACAATGAATACAAAGATATTACAAAAAACATAATATATAAGGAATATACATGAAAAATGTAAATAAGAGAAAAAATTAGCTTAAAAGAATTTGTTAGATAATACATTTAGAAGTAACATTAGTAACACTACTCACCTAAACTGTGACCAGCTACAAAAACTTTTCCACAGAAATCATGATTTCGGGATAAAAATATTTCATGTAATTTATTAAGCTCACTTGCCACAGTGTTTATTATTTGCTGACAATAGGAAGGACTGCTATAAAGTAGAATGTCTAATAAAGTATCATTGGTAAAGTGACGGAGTTTTGGAATACTGAGTAGAGTAATTTTCCGCATTTTCCTGTGCAAATATAAAAACTGGTCTTAAGAGAAATATGCTCAGCAGCACTATTATATTTACAAATAAATATGCATTAATTTCTAGTTTGATATAAAAAAATTACACAAATTATTACCTATCCAAACCAACCTCACTAGTGTGCAACTTAGCATGCCATGCAAGAGGCAAGAATTCAACTCTACCAACTCGCCCCCGATCCACTTCGTGTTTAAAATGGCTCATAATAAGTCTGTTTGCAATATCACGAAAACCATCAACTGTAAGAGAGTAGTTTCACATGAGTAAATATAATACACTTCAAAAAGTAAATATTACAATAAAAGATATTTCCTCTAAAAAAAGGAGCTAGTTAAAAATTTCAGTCAGAAAAGTATTACCACACTGAGCCACAGTTCTGAAACGTAGATCACAAAATGATCCAATTCCCTGGACAATAAAGACAAGATGGTCTATTTGGCTTGACTCATTAGGCATAATTTCATATCCTTCAGGCATACCCCGTTTAACTACTTTAGGATGAACTCTTGATTCCTATAATTTAAAAAAAAAATTATGAAAACCTCAAAAAGGGCACATTTTACTTGAAAATGTATGGATGGAATATTTACCGGCAGTGAAGGCCAAACATCAAGTTCATTTTTATAATGCAGCATGAGCTGTGGGTTTTCCAAAACAACACTCCCCAATCCTGATATATTAATTCGTCTCTGCCATTTCCCTGTAGTTATGCATTCATAATAGTGTTGCTATAGAGAATATTAAAACAACTCTTCAGAAAAAAACAGCATTTAAAAAACTGAACTTAAGAATGATAAACACTTAAGGCTGTTTTAATTCCAATATATGTTAAATTTATTATACAATACAAAATGCACATTGATCATTTGTGCAGTGTGCACAAAATAATACTCAGCAGTTTTTACTCTAAAAAAAAAATCGTTCATCTTAAGTCCAAATCAAATATCAAAAGGAACTTGACTGGATGACTACTAGTTCCTTACTTTCTAAAACACATGGAAACTAGAACAATTTTTCTGTCATGAGTTTATTTTTTATGCATCAGTCACATTAACAGTTATAACAGTTATAAACAGATTATTTACTAGGTAGATATTTTGCAGTCTCTTCCCACAGTTTTTTCTTCTCTCTCCATATTCCCCCTCCATTAACAATATATATGTTTGAAACTAAGCAAAAAACAACCTTAGTTTGGTACAAATTTAGATTCATGACTCATGGGTGGAGGAAAAGGGCAGCCTCTGTAAGTTGTGAAATCCGAGCACCAATACTTACTTAGGTCAGATGCCTACAGGCATCTGACTTATGCCTTAGCTGGCCCTACCAGGAGTATACACTCCCGACATACTTCGCCCATTCCACCCAGTGCCACACCCTCACCACATTGAGGCAGCCTACAGGTCTTGATGATAAAGAGTTGCTAAAGGAATTGCAATTCTTAGCAAGCTTAAGGAGGTCTCAGCACTCTGTTAAGTGCACCTTCGGTGGATTCCTTCCCATTTTGACATATGGGGGAATGAAATGGCAGACATTCTGGTGAAGGAGGGTTCTGAAGAACAATTACCAGTTACCAATTCATTGACATATCTTGAACTGTATTCCATTAGAAGACATGCAGATAGGCAAATTTGGCTCGTTCCCCCGAATCACCCCTGGTATCAAGCTGATTATCCTGGAAGATCTCTTGCTATCGATTGCAATAGATGTGTTCAGACAACACTTTCCCGATTCTTCAGTGGACACCTGAAAAGACTTACTTTTGAGAGAGGTCTCAAGATGCACCCAATTTGTTCTAAATGTCAAAATGCACCGGCATCACTGGCACATACGAGTCACGTATCCTTGAGTGCCTGGAGTTGTCTCTTGAGGAACAAGTCTCCTAAGCTTGTTTTCGATTTTCTGAAAGTGAATGGACTCATGGAATTCGTCTAGTATATTCCTAGACATGGAGATTAGTAACAACAACAAATTTGTGTCTGATCGCCCTCAAAATTGAAAGATTTTTATTTAAAACATATGTGAAACTAATATAAAAACTAAACTCAGTGGTGCAAACAGCCCTAATGGGCCAAGGCCTGCAGTGCCCCGAAATCTGCTTTCTTGACTGTGGGCCTCATGGTGCGTAAGCATCTGCCCTGAACAAGTAGACAGCTTGTCGCAGGCCCCCCAGTGTTTAGCATCCAAGTGAATTTGGTACTCATTATATCGACTCAAGGGATGAAAGGCTGAGTTGACCTTGCCCAGCCCGGGGTTTGAACCCCAGACCTGTCGTGCCGCTGCACCACCGGGCCTCGAAACTAATATAACTTTTTCAAATATTAGATTAGTGCTTTTCTCTCCCAATTTGAATATATACGAGGGCTATCCAGAAAGTAGATTACGTTTTGGAATAAAAAAATAAACAAAGTATAGGAAACAAATTTTATTATATACAGATGAAAGCCACACTCAAATACTACTTTTCTACATAGTCACCATACAAATTAAGGCATTTATCGTAGCGATGTACGAGCTTGGAAATTCCTTCGTCGAAAAATTCGCCCGCCTGCACCTTCAACCACTTCGTTACCTCTTCTTGCCTTCCATCTTGCTCAAAAACTTGTGGTAACCAAGCTTTTCGCTGATGATTTCGTGCAACAACTTCGCGAAAATTTGTGGAAAACTCAAAGAAAGTTCCGTATTGTGAAATTTCGATTTTCACGGACTTTGCATCACTTTTTCGAGAAGTTCGGCGGTCACTATGCTGGGTCTCCCACTTCGATCTTCGTCGTGAACATTGGTTCGGCCATTTTGAATCTTATGACCCACTGATGCACTCCACCTCAGTGATAATGTTGTCCCCATACACTTCACGAAGCTGCCGATAGATTTCTATCGGTTTACAGTTTTTTTGCAGTCAGAAACCTTATTACTGAGCGCACCTCGCAGGATTTTCAATTAACGCAGACATTTCAAACCGTCACAGTATCTGAACGGAGCACAGCACGAACCTCTCACTAGCACGGCTAGATGCAGACTGAGCTGCGCAACGCTCTGACCCCAAGATGGCCGCGCTAGCCCCGCCCCTAGCGGACACAGACGGAAACGTAATCTACTTCCTGGATGGCCCTCGTAGCTTGGTGACTTGTTTTTGTAACATTTTTGCTGTTTAGATCACTTATTACAATACACATACTGCTTATATGCCATAATTAGAACAAAGTCTGCAAACTTTATATCATCATTTAATTTCTTTTCATTCAGAACTAAAGGATGTTTTTAGGAAACTTGCCTAACAAAAACACAATTTTAAATGCGTGCCTATTTTTAATAATTAAACTAGACATTTCAAACATCAGCCAACATCTTAGAATCAATTTTAAGGAAGACTGGCACAGAAGTATATTTTTATTGAAAAAATATACCAGTAATTAAATTTCTAAACAAAATAATACAATTAAAACTTTATACAAGCTAATGCTAATTGTATTTCCTATTAAGATGTAAAACACTGAGAAAGTTTACTAGCTAGATCGAATTTTGACACAATTTATGACTTTGCACATGATAAGACTGCAGCTTTATTTTTATTTAACTTTTATTGAAAACAATGTTCATAACTACTTTTTTGAATTTTATCTTACTACTGCATATCAACTTTAATAATAACGTTTTACATACTATAATCAAACAAAAGATTTGTGGTTTGTGACTAATATACCAGTCAAAAAAAAGGGAGAGGGTATCTTAAACCATTTACAGGTTTCTTAGTTTTATTTTAAGGCCTTAAAACTTGATGCAAAAATTTGCATATATTTAATTTTGAATATTATGTAAAACATAATAAAACTGTGCTTTAATTTACAGAACTAGAAAGACTGCCCTATAAAAGCAAGTCTTAAATTATAGTAATTAAAAGGAAAGCACAACTGAACTTTTGAACTTAAAGGAGTAATTGAACATCATACATGCAAGCTGCATTTTTCATTTACAAACAGTGCTCCAGGTGTTGATATTTAGTTAAATATACATATGCCATAAGCTAAGCAAGCAATCTGCAATTCTTTTTACTTCTATTTAAATTCAGATAAAAATCATTTTGATTTTTGCATAATTTTCCTGAACTAAAAACAATCAGTTGTTAATAGCAATCATGGCAAACTGAATTTTAGCAACAGTAAATTCTAAAAATAGTAACAGCTTCTCAAAACAGAATCATAACTGAAAAGTAATTCTGCATTATATCAGTTTTAGCTTCTCCATTGCGTATAATATAATTGCGTATTATAGATCTTAGGCAAATGCAACCATACTCTCCTTTTTCCCCTCCTTCCCTGCGATAGCTTACACATGATATTCAATCCGCTGTATTGTCCATTGTTTGAGGATGGTATAAGTTTTAAAATTGTGCACCCATAATACTATGCAAAGCAAATATAGTGACTCCAAAACTGCTTGATTCAATAATTAAATTACATTAAATTCGGCCACATTTGTCTGCAATTCCATCCTTTCCATCTACATGGCTCTGTCAATCTATATAGTAGTTTGGGAATCAACAAGTCAACACCACTGAATCATTACAATTATAATTTAGCCATCAATATTTTAACCTGTCTCGTGAAACTTCAACAGAAAATTAGTCAATGTATAATAGCCTTGCCTTTAATACAGTTTATCTATAATATTGAAATAAGTATGTTTGTTCATCTGAAAGTTTGAAAGTTCTAACATGAAATGCAGAATCACTACTTCAATTTAAAGCTAATCTGGTTAAGAAATTTTTTCAGTTTCTTCTGCAATATTGAGAAATTAAAAAAAAAAAAAAAAAAAAAAAATCTGCTTTTAAACCATCGAAGTTATATATTGCTTAAGAAATTCAGCTTTGCAATGGGTTCAAGGTCATCGATTTGGGTTTAATATGCTTCAAGTACAAGCAACCGAAAATTACTATTTGTGCTTCTGCTTTTCTTAATAGTATTTTGTCGGTCAAAAACACAAAACTGTTACCTTTGTATGAAGTAAGGTTCATTTTCCAATGAAACAAAATTATTAAATATACTGTGGGTTCTATTTTATATCAAAATTTTGTTTAAAATTTCAGCAATTTGATTGTGCTGTTTTGACAACATTAAATTTTTTATCAACAATTAAATTTTTATATCGATAATAGTTCTTGTTAATTATGAGTTTATACAAATGCATCATGTTAATATTTTTAATTCTGCCAAATGTTGTAAAGACTTCACTATGTCCTAGTTATTGTAATACACATGTAATCCATGCACACACACACACATATATATTTAAATTAAATTTGTTCAAGCAATGAATATATATAAGCTCATACAATATCAATTTTACATTTAAGAATGATATAAACAGGAAAAGAATTTTTTCCATAAAGAACAAATAGCCTCACAAACTTTCCTAATTGATATTTTATACATGTCTGATGAACTACCTTTCAAAATTACAAAACCTAAAAAGTTAAAATAAAAAATAATAATAATAAAAATGCAAGTAAAATAACAAAATTTGAGAGTAAATCAGGTTTTGATTTCATTTCCAATTGAATTTTAAAAGTACAGTATAAAGAGGTGAATTCCCAGTTAAAAGGCAGATAACTGAAGTGCCTTCAGAATAATGACTGAAGTGACCTACATTCTACAGCACCTTCATTTAAACAGGCAAACTTTATTTACAGTTGATACTACAAATGTTACAACTTTCAAGCAAATTGTGTTAAAATCTAAATTTTTAACATCATATATTTTTTAATCGAATTTTTTCATATAAAAAGGTGTTAAAAATATTTAAATATAAATTACTATTTTGTTGCACTTTTAAATTACTTTTTATTTTTTATCAATCTTTTGAGTTGAAATAATAATAATTTATACTATTACATATATTCACAGGAAGAGTTTCCATAAAAAAAATTGTGCATACAAAAATTTAAAAAAAAAATTCTTTCGAATTCTGCAACAACTATAAACATACTTCAAGCAGACTGGCTGTATGTTCTTCATATGGAACAAACTTCTGAGATGAATCTGACTTATAGAACCATGTGCAACGTCTAATATGCAGTTCCTTGGAATCATAATACACAGATTTTTTAATTCTTTGCTCAAGATATGCATCATATCTACCCCCATCAGTAGCAACAATAGCTTGTGGATCTGCAAAAATATAAAACAGAAAGTCTCCTTCAGAGTATAAATTAAATTAAAAATTTCAACTTAAACTGCAGCAATGAAAAATAAATATAGTTTTTATTACCAAAACAATTATTGTTTGATTACAGCAAATCATACAAGAACTAATTTCTAGGAAATAAAAATGCCTTCAGGGAGGATTTTTCAAAGAAAAACATTAATGTTATACAGGAGGGAAATCATTAAACTCAATGCCCTGTTTGCCACCCTGTCTGCCAAATCCCAAGTCAATAACAAATTTACTACTAGTAAGCAATATTATACACTCAGCCACAGGATGATTATACAAGATTACAGAAAGGGAAAGCTAAAAATGCTATCAAATATTTTTGTTATATATATATGCTACATGAAAAAAATTTTGTTCTGCAACTGATTCTCTATGTCAGTGGTCTCAAACTAGCAGCCTAAGAAGCAATTTTTAGGCAGCCTGCAAAGCCATTTCAATTATGCATTTGTTGCAAAAATGGTATTGCACAGATTTCAGTTACCTGAAGTTCAAATTTATGTTATTTTCATTTCAATTAAAAATTAATATGGACAATGCACTAGAAGATCTACAAATAGAGCTAATTAATTTAAAATATGAAATAAATCTTATTCAAAGATTTGCAGATATAGATTTGATTGATTTTATTCATACTTGTCAAAAAAAAAATAAAAAAGCTCAGCTCAGAATTTTTGCAGTAACAATAATCGCTTTACTGAAATACATGAACAGTTCTTTTTCACAGTTGAAAATTAATAAGAAAAGAACTCGATTAACTGATGAGCTTCCCCCCAGGGAAAAGTTATTGATAAGTTGAAAGCGAATTAAAGTGTTTACTGGTTTGAGACTAAATAGGAGAAGGTAGATAAATTTTATACTGCTCAGTGCTAAAACTTCTGGGATCTGGTCAGGGTGCGGAGGTTAACCGAACCCAATTTCAACTCAGGAAAACCCCAAGGTCCTGGCTGAATCAAGAAATGCAGACAAAGACTGTAGTTCAGAGCAATCTCATTGAAGATGCTTGATCTTAGTATAGTGATTTAGAGACTTCGGTAGAAGAATCTTCCAGGATAACTCTATCCTCAAGGAAGAAAATATTTCATGCACAAGAAGCGCTGTTCAGTTATATTATCACTCAAGCGTTAGAAATTACAATGCTGAAAAGAAAATTAAAGAAACATATTGAAATGCAATCTCAACAAAAATTACAACAATATCCTTAAAGAAGAAAATAATTAATGCACAAGAAATGCTTTTCAGTTATATTATTCCCAATGCATCAGATATTAATTTGAAAGGAAAATTAAAGGAACATAACATAATAAAATGCAACCTCGATAAAAATTACAATCTTTTGCAAATGAAAAGGTGGTTGAGAAGATGACTTCACAAAAACAGAATAAAATCAAGATTATGCAATTTTGTTACATCCCAACAAAATAGGAGCTTCTTCAGAAGAAATTAAGACAAGATCTGGCAAAACAAGAGTTCCTACAAAATTAAAAATAGTAATTAGAAATGTTTGAAAATCAATAATAGTGGTATTGTTACTGGATGTTTAAATAAAGATGACATAATAGGCTTATAACATGAAATTGATTCCCTTGTTTAAAAATGAGATGTAGATGATATCTCCCGCTAAGAAAAAGCCAACACAGATGGAAAGATGAAGCAAGATACGTTCAAGATGCTATAAAGAGGAAGAACCCTATTTTTAAGGACAGAGGAATTGAAGGCCTTCATGCAAAAACTGGCCAAGTCCACATTCGGGTCAAATTATGTTTTTTCACTGGGTATATTAATTTAAAGCGACCCCGATCAATTTAAAATGCTCAATGGACTTAGTCGACCATACCCTTTGGAGCAAGAAACAGTCATCTTCAGGACTTGTTCGATTTTTATACCCAACTTTAATAGTAGCAGAGTAGGAGGACATGACCTTGAACAATCTCACACTTCACTTACTAGATGCTTCTTGACATGTTTTAGTAGCTTCCTGTTGCTTCTTAATGTGTATGTGCACATGGTCTGTTGTTTATCATGTGGAATATATATATAATCGTGTGTGATATTATTAGAAATGATGTCATCTGATGAAGAACAGCTTTTTAACATGTTCACAGCAGCCACAAGTTGGTTGTAGCATCACCATGAGTATCTCGTTCACTTTGAAGCAAAGCTGTTAAATAATATCAGGTAGCAAATATTTGCCATCTGATACTGATCAATCTAATTTAAATCAATCCTACTTAAAAACAGAAAAAAAAAAAAAAAAAGAGAGACAATACAAGAAGATTCAAAATATTGCTTTAAATAATCCAAATTAGACATCTTTTGTAAACAAACCTATTTTACTAGACAGTGTAAGTACTTCTTGTACAAAAAAGGATAGAAGAAAATATGAAATGAGGCATCATGGCAAAGAAATATCAGGAAAATGAAAATGGCAATCAATAAGGGAAGCGGACACTACCATAAAAAGTGCAAAATTAATACCCGAGAGAAAAGTGGGAGAAGACTGTGCTTGTCGTCACAAATGTTTATTTGAATATCAATGCGGATGAAAGTAACCAAATCTTGCAAGAATTTAATGGCTTCGCTAAAAAAGAAAATGAAGATCTTTATTTGGTGGCTTAATCTGGGTAGATAATGTGGCAAGGTAAAAGAATAAAAACAAGAACCGACAGAGCAAAGGCTGTTATTTTCCACTGAAAGGTAGGTTAGGAAAATGACAAAAACATAGTTTCTATATGTTTGTGGCAAATTCATAGTTTGCCTAAAACGTTTTTAATAAACAAGATGGCATTGGATTTTTTCTAACACTTGGAGTTTATATAGGCTACATCACAGCACAAAGAAATCAAAATAAAAAATTTTAAACACCATCTACGAGGGCTATCCAGAAAGTAGATTACGTTTTGGAATAAAAAAATAAACAAAGTATAGGAAACAAATTTTATTATATACAGATGAAAGCCACACTCAAATACTACTTTTCTACATAGTCACCATACAAATTAAGGCATTTATCGTAGCGATGTACGAGCTTGGAAATTCCTTCGTCGAAAAATTCGGCCGCCTGCGCCTTCAACCACTTCGTTACCTCTTCTTGCAGCTGTGCGTCGTCATCAAAACGCTGCATAGCCAGCCACTTCTTCATTGCTGGGAATAGGTGGAAGTCGCTCGGTGCCAGGTCGGGACTGTACGGCGGATGAGGAAACAACTCCCACTTAAAAGATTCAAGAACTTTACGAGTGACATTTGCAGTGTGGGGCCGGGCGTTGTCGTAAATCAACAAGATCTTAGAGCTCAACATTCCTCTGCGCTTGTTTTGAATTGCTCTTCTGAGTTTTTGGAGAGTTTGGCAATACCTTTGAGAGTTTATTGTAGTGCCTCATTCCAGGAAGTCCACCAAAATTACACCTTTTCTGTCCCAAAAAACAGTCGCCATCATCTTCCTTGCCGACATTGTTTGCATGCATTTCTTGGGTTTTTGGGGAGAACTTGTGTGCCCCCACTGCATTGATTGCAATTTCGTTTCACAGTTCACATGTTTCACCCATGTTTCGTCACCAGTAACGATGCGATCGAGTAAAGAGTCACCATCCTTATGGTAAGCGTCCAAAAAGTTCAACGCTGCAGCCATTCGCTGATTTTTGTGGTCCTCTGTCAAGATTTTTGGAATCCATCTTGCACAAAACTTGTGGTAACCAAGCTTTTCGCTGATGATTTCGTGCAACAAACTTCGCGAAATTTGTGGAAAACTCAAAGAAAGTTCCGTTATTGTGAAATTTCGATTTTCACGGACTTTAGCATCGACTTTTTCGAGAAGTTCGGCGGTCACTATGCTGGGTCTCCCACTTCGATCTTCGTCGTGAACATTGGTTCGGCCATTTTGAAATCTTATGACCCACTGACGCACTCCACCTTCAGTGATAATGTTGTCCCCATACACTTCACGAAGCTGCCGATAGATTTCTATCGGTTTACAGTTTTTTGCAGTCAGAAACCTTATTACTGAGCGCACCTCGCAGCTCGCGGGATTTTCAATTAATGCAGACATTTCAAACCGTCACAGTATCTGAACGGAGCACAGCACGAACCTCTCACTAGCACGGCTAGATGCAGACTGAGCTGCGCAATGCTCTGACCCCAAGATGGCCGCGCTAGCCCCGCCCCTAGCGGACACAGACGGAAACGTAATCTACTTCCTGGATGGCCCTCGTATTTTACTAAATTTTGTTTTTAACTTTTTAGTTCTATTTATGCACAGTTGCGGTTCAATTTTTCAAAATTATTTTAATAAATTGTACTTAAAATATTTTTATTGTTGCAGATTCGTGTTAAGGGCACTGAATGTATAGTCTGCAGACAGGCATTATGTTCTATCCATAATTGCCAGACACTGGGTAAATCATATAGGCTTCACTTTACAAGAAAAAACTGCCACTCCACTGGACATGAGTTGCAAGCATAATACCCACCCTAACAAAATTCCTCAGAATACTGCAGCTACTACAGACAATCATATTTTAAGCTTTCCTAATCACTCATCACATCATAGTGAGGAGAAAAACAAACACTGAACTCATCACCTGATCTGAACATTTCCAAGATGTATACGTTAAACTTGGAAAACTATGAACCAGATGTATCTGAAAAACTTAAACATGGAGAAAAATGTTAATCAAAAGTTTAATACAACTTCTACTTTCATTATTTTTTCAAAAATTACAATATAAGCTTTGGTTCTCATTTGGATGTGATATGGCAGAAAATTTAATAGCAGCAGAGCAGGTTTGTAAGAGCAAATATATACTACAGACAGAAAAACAGTATATGCTAGAAAAGCAGAAGTATACTTTACATTGATGAAAGAGAAGCTTGTCAAGACCAATGAAACAGCAGAAGTTTTATGTTTTGACAATCCACAAAAATCTTCTTTTGCTGCGTGCTAAGGCTGGGAGATGCTTTT